GCTAATTAGATAAAAATAGATAAATGTCTAGTTGTCCTTTTTCCCAGCTAGTAGAAAAAATTAAACATTTCAAAAACATAAATAAGTACCCACTATTAAAGTACAAATACATGTGACCTATACACAAAAATAAAAATATAGCAATTCTAAACACTATCCAACTTTATATATATATATATATATATATATATATATATATATATATATATATATATATTTTATCCCATGAAGAACAAGATAGGAGAACGGGGGTAGTAATTCGGGATTATCCACTAATTATAGTTTTGGCATTCGACCATGATGAAGGATGCTTAAATTTAAAAGGCTGTCACACAACCAAAGAGATGTCACACTTTATAATGCACTTGCTACACCACTTGGACCATTACATAAAAGGGTTATATGTATGAGGATGTTCACAACAGCAACAAATGCCAATTCTTTGACATATAAACAAGTGTGTCCAATGAAAATACTTCCACAATTTCCTAAAAGTAATTTTAAGATAAATTATTCACTTCTCATATTTCCAAAGGGATAGTCCGCCCCCGAGGAGGGTGAGGACACCCTCTGTTAAATAATTATAAATAAACAAATAAATAGGTGAACTTAGAATTTTAGAGATGGGCCATACTAAGTTACCTCGGCACTATGATTTAGAATTTGAGAAATCTCGCATCTCAACATACATAACCAAAGTACCAAACCTATCTAACAAAAAGTGCTTGGAAGCCCATGCTTTAGGTTCAAAATGTATTGGAAAATATTCCACATTATAATAAAATAGTGAGTGGCAGATAGAATTAGCATAAGATTACCAAAATATGGTCCCATTTTTTTTTTTTTTTTTTTTTTTTTGTATATTCTATTTGGAGGCTTGAGAATCTATGCAAGCACTGTCTCGATGTTCAAGTTGTGCATCCAAATGTTTTCAAAAAGAAGCATATATAACAAAATGGCCCAATGCAATAGCAATAATTCCCTTTCACATAGCTAGTAACAGTGCGACATATAACAAGTTGATTTTTTCAACAAACCAAGATTGTTATATAAAAACTAAGCCAATTATTAACAAGGGGTAAGTGCAAGAAACACCCTAAAGTATACCTTTCATAGTACTTTTACTCTCTACTTAAAAAGGTGTGCAAAAAACAACCATATTCTTTTTAATTTGTGCAATAACACCTTTCAATTAATATAATGTCAATTTTACCCTTTTACTCTTCCAAAAATACCCCTACCAAACCCTTTTTTTTAAATAAAAAATGCCCAAACAAACGGATCTTCTCTTATCAAATCCCAAATCCCTAGGTTTTTTTTTTTTTTTTTTTTCCTGACCATCCGCAACCTCCACCTCCACCTCTCCCTGTGACCTCCGGTAGCCTCTTCCTATTGCAGCTCCGGTGACTACGTGCCCAGTTAGAAGCTCGCTGCTGCATGCCATATCTCTGTTGCTTGCTATGCCGCCAAAAAATCTGACCCACATATCTTCGACCCATATCTGGCAATGTGGATCGGCGAGCAAGGTGTTTCTCAAAAGGATAAAACGGCCGCGACGAGCTCGGCTGACCTACGGCGGCTCAGAGGGGTCTGAACGGCAGGCAAGGCGACGATGGACTGGCGAGGATGAAGACGGCCCACGAGCAAGGAGGAAGCTTGGCAGGTGGTCGCGATGGCAGCGAATAGCGATTCCGGCGATGGGCTGTGGAGAGGACTGGTTCGACTGTGAGCTTGCGACGCCTCCGTCTTTATCTCCCTCCCCGGCGACGCCTCCGTCTTTATCTCTTCCACTTCCCGGACTAGGCAAATTCCAAGATTAGGTAGGTCTGATTTTTCAGATTATTCAGCAAGCAATTCGTTAGAGATCATAACAACCCACGGGTATTATGAGTCTTCGTAAAAAGCTTTTCCCCTAGTTTTGATCTTAAGCCACCTATGGGCATCCTTTGATCCGAAATAAGAATCCACTTGATCATCGCCCTTTTTCATCACTTTATGCGGATAAATCAGGGATCGCTAAGGTGTCTATGTTAAGACTGCGCGTCATGGGGGCGCCTCCTTTGCCACAACCTCCACTCCTTCCTGCGACGTGTATATGTTTGTGTATACATGTCTGTGTATATATATATATGTATCTGTATATATATAATTTGTAAATTTATAATAAATTGAGAGATATTTTAGTCATTTCACATTTTTTATTATTTATATATATTATAAAATGTGTTGCTAAGGACATTTTAATCCAATTTTTATAAATAGGACCTATTTGCACAAATGTCATAGTTTAGGGTTGTTTTTTTGTGCTGGAGGAGCGTAATATGCATTGTAAGCATACTATAGGGGTGTTTTTTACACTTCACCCTTATTAACAATACATAGCAGACGTGCAACAACTTATTGTTGACATTTTAAATTTGTATACTTAAGATGATACAAAAAAGCCTAATATGTTGTAAGAAATATAGTTTTTCTTGGTGCTAGTCTAGAAACGACAAACTCTTATAAATAATTAAATTTATAATGCATATATCTATATATATATATATATATATATATATATATAAAAGCATGTAACCTTCAACATGTTAAAGACCTAAATCTACAGTTTCCCTTAGCTTAATTCCACCATAAAATTAATCATAGGAGGCCCCATTATTAATCTTACTAGGCTAGACTGTCTTACATGAATTGAAGTCAGAACTAATAGGAAAGTGCTCGTCACACTCACTTATACTACATACCAACCAACTCGCTTATAAGAAGCTATTTTTTTCCCATGTTTTTATTTACCAATTAAACGAACCAAGCACTACAGAAGCCAGTTGAACAAGCTCAATTCAACACTTAAAAGAGTGAATCGTATTGCATTTAAAATAACCTACAAAGAGAATATCGAGAGAAAGGGTAAAAGAAACGTAACTTAAAATGGAGCTCATGTAATTTGTAGCTAATAAGATAGAATTTCAGTAAGTTTTGAACTGGTTGTGAACAGAGAGTTAAATTGTCATACAAGTTAACTCTAGGTCCATGGGTACAATCTAGAGGTCTCATGTTAAACACTTGGGGGTATCAAGCTTCCACTCTTGGTTTATCCATACTTGTTATTTAAGTGTGATTGCGGGTATCTGAAGGAACCGGTATCACCCCGAAGGGGGTAGGTACACCCTTCATTACCAAAAAAATTAATAATAATGATAAAGAAGGGGGAAAAAGCTCTAGGCTTGATTTAGGATGGTAAACAATGTCAATCTAGACATACTTTAATCAACCATGATGATATAAATTTAACACTTTTTTATGATCCAAGTTTGCTAAATAATGAATATCCTAAGGTGTTGTTTGTTAAAACTAAAGATTAAGTGCTGAAAAATTTATGAACTGAATTTTAAGTGCTGAAATTTTTAAATGGCGATAAAAATTGAATTTTTTTTAATATCTATTTGAATTTTAAGTTTTGAACATTCCATAATAAGCGTGGTCATTTTCACTTAAAAAACTTTATCCCATTTAAGTCACACTTACCTTTTTAAATGATATTCAAAGTGATCATCAAACAAACTTAATTGGATATGAACTTAATATGATAAATTAAGTATTGAATAAGTTTATCTAACAAACACAGTCTCATTCTCTCAGTGAGTTAATCTCACCTTTATCATGATTGTGACAAAAGAGACCAAGCACCATGGCTCACAAAATCTCTCTATTGGCGGCCGTTATCAAATGCTATCAAGCCACAACACATGGGAAGATGACAGTAGAGAGATCGATGATCAGCAGAGATTGTATATGTAATAGTTTTAGGAGGCATCCCCTATTTAAGTGCCCCCATCCAAGCGATGTGGACTGAGTCTCAATCACTCCCTCTTGGGACCCAACATCCGTGCTAGTCTGTCCCTAATAAGTTTGTGCACGTTCCCCCATATTCAGGGAATTAATTTGATACCAACTATTAGAACCCACCTCACACAGTGCAGATATTGTCCACTTTGCACGCTCTTGGCGCTCACGATTTTCAAAACGCATCTGAATGATCTCACAGGCAGGAGGCATCCCCCTTATAAAAGCTAACTTCTCCCCTCCAACCAATGTGGGGCATCATAATCACCCGGGACCTAAGATCCTGGCTGGCGTAACCCTCATAGGCTTTTGCACGCTTCCCCCAATCAGGACCTACCACCTTAGACTGTGCAAACATAGCCTGCTTTGCACCCTCTTGGTGTTCTCAGTCTTGTAGTTTTAGCAACTTGTCTTTCCAAGGCAATGTGAAACGTCACAATGACCATTCCAACTCAAGCTTAGCTAAAAAAAATTAGGCCCATCTTAAGATTGGCTAGGCAAGCTCATTGAAAAATGACCCAACTGCTACCACAAACAACAGCAAACCAATAACAAATTATGAATCACGATAGAAAAGTAAACACGCATTACACGACACACAAAGAACACAAAGATTTTTGTGATTAAGCTCCTTAACTCTCGCCTTTACTCTTTTTTCTGCAATTTTCAGTCTCTCTCATTATACCACTTCAAACCCTAAGTGCCCTTATATATCGGGCTACAAGAGAGTACTAAACAAGGTCCACGACTAAGAAGCAGAAAAATAAGTACAAAAAAAGGATTACACTTACACAAAGCTCATTTTTTTAGTCAACCGAGTTGCGTCCGAAACAAAATTCGAACCACAACAAGCCTCTGAGTTTAGCAACCCAAGCCAGCTTGGCTCACTCATTTGCAGCTATACATCACACATGAGTGGGACCATCAACCCTGACTTCCATCTTATAACAAATTAGGTAGCTAGTGTAATTGTGTGGGACTATAAATCATCCATGAGGCATATAGTAGACATTTTGCTAGCTAACTCTATCTCTAATACGGAAACTAATATGAAATCTTGCTTTCTTCAACATAAAAAATAAATGTGTTAATACTTTTGAAACTTGTAGGTTTGGAAGGACGAAAAGAAAAGAAAAAAATATAAGACAATAGCCTAGGCAATCACATTTTAATTTCCTTGACACTGAAACAAAGAGAACATGTGACATTGAAGATTCATCACACATCAGGGAAAAAAAAGCTTCTGAAGATGTCTCTATTCATTTGTTCTACTCAAACAAATACGTCAGATTTTATTGAACAATGGTATAAAATAATTTCTTTGCCTCCCGGCCCTCCACACCTTCAAGCTCTTACCACTGAACTTCATTAAAACTTCACTGAAAGGGACCTTTCCTGATGCATCATTTAGCCTTCAATTACCTTGATAAGGTATTGCTCTTCTTCCTATTCCCTAGCTTGAGAAGTGCTTTTCCAAATGATTTAAGCATCGTCTCCATGGTCAAGGTATGCATCCAAACATTTTCAGAAAGACATATATAATACGACGGCCCAATGAAATAGCAATAGTTCCCTCCCTCAAATAGCTAATAATAGTGCAACCGTCCAACGAATTAAATTTTTCAATAAACCAAGATTCTTATCACAACTGCTACTTCCACTCCTACATGAAAGTTTGAATTTTATTTATTTATCTATTTTTTTGGGGGGAACATTTGCATGCAATGTAAAGTTTTTCAAAACTACCCGTGAGACCAGTTTAACATGACTAGGCCTTCAATGAGATTGACATGGCATTGCCACGGCAATTTTGTTTGAACCCCGACTTGGAAAGCAACTTTATGATTGGCATATGCAAGTCTGCAAGTACTATATGCTAGGGTCACTAGAGGCACATGCTCCAAACTATTAAACAAGCTTGTGAAGAAAATGTTTTAGTACAAATTTGAACGTAGCCTAGGTCTGGTCGAACTCTTAAATGACCTGACCTTAAGTCATAATCTCGTCAAAATTCTGTATGCACTCCACCACTATCTAGCTGCTCTACTCGAGATTGACAAGTTGTCAAACTATCATAACTGTAAAATTGGATAACATAATACTTCCCAGTGACTTGTCCCAAATCACTTCCCAATTATTCTTATTTTAATTGATAACGCAAAACAGAGTAGTTCGAAAGGAAATTTAGACGCTGACAGTTACTGGCAACAGCCCCTGCTCTGCGAACTTCAAATTTCAATCCTATGTTCTATAAGGCAGCGGATAAAGGCCTCACTTCTGCAGTCTATAGTACCTTCAAATTTCTAATTTGATGAGGACAACCGACAGGTACAAAAACTGCATCTCCTAGATTTTGCACAATAGTCCATGGTTCAATTCCTACATCCAAAAAAAATATAACCATGAACAAGAAGAAATCAAGAATTGGATAAAACTTAAGCATATTGAATATTTTGTAAACTAACCATATTCCTCCTTAAGCCTTCTCTTGTGCTCCAGAGTCAAGTAAAAGGTTTGGTCATGAATAGGGTGAACAACCTGCAGCATCTAGAGAATGATAATAACGTAAATTAGAATATACAAAACTAAACAAACAGGTACTATCAACAATATATTGTCATAAAGAAGGATGCGCCAGAACATGAGACATAAAAGGATACTAAGCACACCCATAGATCTATGCATTTATCTCCTAGTCTCCTTGTTTGATGCTTCTATTGTTTGTACCCTGTGTAAAAATTCGACTATAGTTGTATTCCAGTACCATACGGATACACTCAGGAACCACAGGAAACTGAAATTGACAAATTGTTAAGAGCATTTGGAGTGATTTAAATGATTATGAGCAGTAAAATTTTCTTTATTAAATTAATGGTACTTGAACCAATTTACTTAAGTAAGAATCATGTTCAGTAAATTTTGCTCCTCTTCTTTAATGCAAAAAGTCCATTTATAGAATGTGGTTTTGAGTCCAGATGTTGTGGAAAACTGGAAATAAAAAAAGATGATTCCATTTCACCTCTATCCAAACAAAGAACCACACAGCAACCAGATACAAGAGGCAAATCTGCATAATCGCCTGGAATTCGGACCATGAAACAATAGGTTTTTTGTTAGCGTATATGATACCACAATTTATGATATGACTTACCATAATAGCAGAAATTTGACTATGCATATGTTAGCATATATGATACCACGATTTATGATATGACTTACCATAATAGCAGAGATTTGACTATACTATAGAATATGCCATAGAATATGCTTGAAAATAAGTTGTGATTTGATTGCGATTTGATTTAGTTTCCTTTCTTGTAATATGAGCATGTGCTCATTTTATCTATAAATACTAAGGCTGTGAATGAGTAATTCAAATCATTCAAGCCTTTACGCAATTCTCTCCTTTCTCTTCTTTTTATATATTTCTACTTGGTATCAAAGCCAACACCTTTCCACACCTTTCAGCAGCCTTGCTACTTGTGCGACAGCTACCTTAGGCTGTTTGTGACATCGTGTGACGTTGCCTACACATGTTTTTCTGTGTTGCTGTTTTGTGATCGAAAATAGATATTTTTAAGTTTTACAATTTCTTTTTCACTCTTCTAGGGTTGGGTAAATTGGGATAGTTGGTTTCTAACACCTAGAAGGGCTTGGGTAAAAAAAATATATATATAGTCTACAAAGAGGTTCCGGATATTAAGAAGGAGGCTGTCTGGCTATATGTAAGCGGACAGTGCTCCTTAAAAAAGTTATGTATTTGGATTTTTCGGGAATGGTCTGAGGAGACATTGTTATTGTTTATGGTCTGAGGAGACCCTTTGATTTATTAATAGAATTTGTGATGTTTTTCGAGTTTTTTTATTGTCATGTGACAGATTATGGCAGATTCAGGGTCTTCGCCTGTTAATTCTCTTTGCTCACGTTCTGTGGGTAGTGGTGCCATTTTTCCTACCAACTCATCAGAAAATCCAAGACTTCAAATCACCATAGTGAAGTTGGATGGTTCCAACTATTTGATTTAGGCACAGTCTGCCAAGATGTTCATTGGTGGCAAAAGCAAGATTGGCTATATTATTGGTTCTGAGAAAGAGCCAGCTGAGTCAGAGAAGGCATATCCACAGTGGTCTGCAGATAACACTATGGTTATGTCTTAGCTGGTCAATTCGATACAACCAAACATAGCTGTTGGCTATATGTTTATGAAGACTGCTAAGCAAATTTGGGATTCAGTTCAACGTACTTATTCTCAGAGGCAGAATAATGAATGAATTTTCCAGCTAGGGCGAGATATCACCAAGATTTCTTAGGGTGACTTGACAGTTTCAGGTTACATCGCCAAGCTTCATGCTATTTGGGAGGAGATGTCATATTATGATTCCTTCCACTCTTTGAAGGATCCAGATGATGCAGTTTTATATGCAGGAATTGTGGAGAAGAATCGAGTGTTTTAGTTTCTTGCCGGGTTAAATGACGAGTTTGAGTATGCTAGTGTTCATTTATTGGGCTTATCTTCATTCCCTACTCTTGAGGATGCACACTCCCATGTGTTGTCAGATGAGAGCCACCGGACTCATCCATTAGGTGTTGCTTCAGTTAATCGTTCTGCTATGGCAGTTCGGGTTCCCAACCTTTCTGAAACTTCACCATCCCAGTCAGTTCAGAGCACTACCATCGGTCCTCCTCTGGGACAACAACGTGGACGGTGTGACCATTGCAGAAAAATTGGTCACATCAAATCTCGTTGTTATGCTCTACATGGACGTCCACCGCAACAGAAACAACAGCCTCGATCCTCTGCACATTCTGTTACACAACCAGTCTCGTTGTCAACTCCTGACAACCCTGCCTTTACATCTTCTACCACAGTTACCTTGACTCAAGCTGATTTGGACAAGTTCAAGCAATTCTTCAACCAAATGGAGGCATCATCTCAGCCAACCTCCACTTATGCCCACTCAGATACTATTGCGTCTGTACATAGCGTATCTACATCTTCAACACTATGGATCATTGATTCTGGTGCTTCAGACAATATGACTGGTATGTCCTTACTCTTCCAATCTTATAGTATTTGCTCTCGCCAACGCAAGGTCCACCTTGCGGATGGCTCTCATCTTCCATTGCTGGGAAGGGTCATAAAAAAATTAACCAGACAAATCTAATATTTGGTCTAAATAAATGACCACAATTGCTATATTATGGTTGCTTAGCTGATTGGTGTTGTCATCAAACCATGTAAAGTAGGTAAAAAACAATTTAATGACTTCCGATGCATTTAAATAAATTCAAAACAATTAGAAATGTACTACTGTCGGAAATGCAACACATGAAACAGGTAGAAAGAAATTAAATCGAAAATCAAGTAATTCAGTTCATAAGCATAGGAAAAGACTTAATTAAAATTGAACAATCTAGATATTGTGATGAATTCATCCATTGATTTATGTATTTCACAAGTCCTTGGTATGTTCATAGTTCTTAAGTTCCTGTTATTTTGTGAAGCCTATATTTGTGAAGCCTATGATGTATAGCACCGTTGTTTTGTAAAATCCTAGCAAGATACATGTATGTAATGTATGTATTTTCCTTGTAAATAGATTTAGAAATGGTGTTTTGGTAGACGACTGGGGAAGTTCTCCTACCGTTGTTAAATCTATGAGGAGATATTGTCAATAAATGAGTTAAAAATATAGTATCTTTTATAATTGTTCCCCCCATTGATTTGTGTTAAATTTGTTCTAACTTATGAGCTATATACTCCTTTGGTTGTCAAAGAACTTCAATTATCGCGGTTTTGGGTTAAGTTATCATCTATGGTCAATTGGAGAAAATGATATATATATATATATATATATATATATAATCTCTTTAACTCTTGCAACCGTGGGAGTTTTCTACAATTCTATTTTAAAATTTCTCTAGTTCTTCCTTGGAAATGAATTTGTATCAGGGGATGTAGTGCTTCAAACGCTACAAAATATTTACCGTACATCCCCTCTGTGTCTAAAGTCTCTTTGTAAAATTTGATAATTTTTGGACAGGTGTGTATTTTCTATTAAAAAAAACATTGACTATCTGCTACCCAGTTTTTTTTTTTTTTTTTTTTTTTCACAGTTCGGGGACTGATTTTGAGAAAATGATTTAATGGACTTCCCGACATCATTAAATTATGAAACTTTCTAGTTCATGTGTCTAGTTTATAAAACCAAGGCTGCAAAATTTTATCAGCTCCATAAACAACTAAGCAAGACAAAGTTCGGCACGTGGTTGGATTTCAGCACAAGCTGTGAAAGCCTTCTTTCTAAAAACTGTTTTCACTAGTGTATTTCCAGCATTCGGAAATGACTCAGTCACGTTGTACTCCAAGTCTAGTTTCTAAATAATTTTACTTTTCCTTGTTCCAATAAAAATTAAATTTTCTATGATTTTTCGAATAACCGCTGCACATAATTTTTATTTAGCTGAGCATTGTTGTTCCAATTTTCATTTTAACCTTATTAATTGCGCCCTATGGTCTTGGGGCATGACAGGTTTTTTTTCATCTTCCAACTTGTCTCCTTTATAGATTGTTTGCTTGTCGATTTGTACATAAATTGTTCACAATAAATATTTCTTATATAACTTTGTTTCATTTTCTACATTGAAATTTTCTACATTCAACATATCTCTCCCAGTGGAAGTAATATGTTACTGATGTGTTAAAAAAACAAAATCCTGGTTTGTACAAGTATAGGCCCTAACATCTCAAAATTTCATTTGAATTACATGGGACTGGGAAGCGGATTAAAAATGTTATGTGGACAAACCTACGGAACAAAGCAATATCATATGCTCGGCATTTACATGCAGAGAGCTATGCTTATGGTTATGCTACTAGGATCCCTATATCAATCCTCTGGGCCTATTCAGGATACATTCTCACTAGCTGTGGACAAGACTTAGCGATTTCAACACACACGAGGATATATGCTAGTTGGTTGATTCCTATCATTTTCCCTTATGGAATCCTCCAGTTCTTGTAGACTCAAAATAGCGTAAAGCCATTGATGATAAGCACATGTTTTACGAGCTTAGTTCATGTCTTGCTTTGTTGGATTTTGGTTTCTAGAGTTGGCTTTGGCAACAAAGGTGCTGCTGAAAAAAAAAAAAAAAAAAAACTCCCCCTAGCAAAAAATATGAGGGAGATCGATTGCAATACTTAACAGTCCAGATAGGAGACTCAAATTCTTCAGACATGCCTAGTATTTTTGGTCTCCCCTAATTCTCTACCAGATCGAGGTAAAGTGGCACCAATTTTAACACATTGCTAATATATATGTTTATAGAATTATTAGCCTCATTGTTGCGTTACCAATTTAGTTTATTAAAAAATAGTTGAACATATCATTTATCCATTACTTCTTTAATTTAATTCTATTGTAGGTTAGGTTATTAAAAAATGTTGATAGAATTACTAGCCACATTCTTTTTATTCCAGTACATCTCAAGGTCTTCTTCTATATAAATACTTAATATAACAGTAGCTCGAAATTAGATGATAGGGAAAGCAAATTCCAAACTTTAATTATAAATGTAACTTACTAAGTGGAACAAGTAGCACCCATAGAAGAGGTCTGCAAGGCCAAAAATTGTTGATCCAATGTGATAAATTTTGTGACCTGAGACTGCAAAAAGGTAATTGACATGAGACTATGATAACATCCAATCATTTATTAATTAAAAGGAATATAACACTGCATTAAATAACTTACATTCAACTTTTAAAGAATGATGAAATTGAATCAATCATTCTATATCAGTGTCATCATCAATGAATAACACTTCTTCTTCGTCATCAATGCCTCCACATCTATCTATTCTAAATAAATGAAGAGCAAGACAGAGATTGTATTAACCAAGAGGGGCAAACTGTTTCCTTGTCTCTAATTGCACCACCTGACTGCCATAGCCCCCTTAACAAAAATAATAAAAAATAAAAAACACAAACAAACATGTATTGCACAGCAGAGGCATATTTTCTGTTATTCTCTAAATATCTTTAATTTACAGTGAACCAAATGATTGAAGAACCCTGTAAACCGATGTCACATTGCCATTGGCATTTTTAATTATCACTAACATGGCTCAATTTATTTACTGTAAAACATAAAGGGTTTAATAGTAAAATTTGCAAGGACATGATTTTTTACTCGCAAAAAATTCACTACTTTCACTTCAATATTCTTCAGAACCAATCTGTAAGAAACTAAGTCACCCTTATGCCTTTTTGTGATGTACTAAGACAAAGTCCACATAACTAGACTTTTACTTTTACTATAGACTATTGGGCAATACATTACACAAGTAAGAAGTTACCAACTTTATTTTTAATTGATTAGTTAGTTTTACAGATTTTTTAATGTTAACCATTTTGAATCTACTTTGGCTAAATAATTAATTTTTTGAACAATCCAAATTAACCAATAACCCATTCAGGAAAAAATATTTAACCAATGACCCAAAAAAAAAAAAAAAAAAAAAAAAAAAAAAAAAAAAAAAAAAAATTGACAAGAAAGTTAGAGGGGCTACTTGGAAATTGTTTGACAACATCTCTAATGTAATTTGGACACTTCAAAGAATTCAAGGATTCAAGATACAAGTACAAGTGGACAAGGCTTCCCATGCCTCGCCTTCCATCTCATCTGTATTTTTCTTTCCTCTTTGTTATGGGGTCACTATAATTGACAAACAAATCATAACTAAAAAATATATTCTAACAATTTAAGAAAAAGCATTGTAATGAGAATCTTCTCTCTTCAAGTAAGCATTCAACTGTTTTTTATCCAGTAGAATCTTGTGAGAAACATATAAAAACTCAGTATTATATAATAGAATAAAATGAAAAAAAGAACAATTAACAGAAGAAAACAATAAACAAGCACATCACTGTGAGAAGATTGATATCTAATATGGCCATGGCACAAAGTAAAATTGAAAACTTACTACCATACACAAATAGAAGATGTTTATTATAGTGAGTAGAACTAGTTTTACAAATTACCAATAAAATCCTCAGAAGAAAATAAACTATGTTGATGTATTTGTTCCATCCTCTTATAATTACTACTGTTCAAGCACTCAATTTATCATTGGCTTGCCTTGGAAAGCAGTGCAGGATTATTGAATCAATGCATATTTAGTCCACACCCATGTATACACATACACACGCACATACGGAACACAAAGCATGAGAAATTCACCCTAATCCCTATTCAAATCCAATAAAATCATGTTAAGGGATCAAATAATGCATGTTTGAATCAAAATTCACAAAAAAATGAATAAAAATAAAATAAAATAAAATAAAAGACCATAATATACACACAAATATGATCGATCCGAATAAAACTAAAAGAAAAAACACAACAGGGACATACACGATCAATCTGGCTCAACTTGTTCTTTAATCAATTAAACCCATGTTTGGCTTCAAAAACAATATTTAATGCAAACAAAATCAACTAATAATTTGATTTTAAAGCAAAAACCCCAAAAAGGGGAACCGAAAACCTTCTAAACCCATATATACATAAATATATATATATAGAGAGAGAGAGAGTATATAAATGCTATGTTTCATAAGATGCAACAGTACATAACCAAACCTGTTGGTTTTATCCTCCCACAGAATAACAGTCACTTTGACAACCAATGAAGACCACAAATAGAAACTTGAAGCACAAATATCAAACAGGGAAATAGAACTTACAGCAAGAGGACATTTTGAAGCTGACCGAGTTCTTGAGGAATAGGACCATAAAGGTGATTATTTGAAATGTCTCTACAATGGAATATCATGATAACAAAGGTGAACACTGGACAAAGAAAATGCAATAGTACCCATAATTGCAGTTAAAGATTCCTTACATCTCCATAATGCTTCTTAGATTACCAAACTCAGCTGGTATATAGCCAGCCAAATTATTCCTGCATAAGTTCCTGCATATAATTTAGGGGTTGTCAGCAAAAATAAAAATAAAAATTGGTACATGATTCCTTTAAATGTAAAACTCATAGTTTCAGAAGATACTCCAAATCACCAAGGGAAGAAGGAATAAAACCATATACAAATGGAGAGAGATAGTAGTACCTGAATCATGGGCTTTGCCGGGGATGGAAACGAGGGGTTTGCCTTGGAATCAAGAGGACGTACCGTGCTGGTATAATCCCGATCACCTGCCTTCGAAATCTGGCGAATCCTTGGAGAGAGAATGAAGCGTGTGCCCCAGCCACCGCCACTAGTGCAGTCCGGCGGCAACTAGGCATGAACGGCCCATGAATTGGTGTCCTCGGAGGAAGAAATAGAAGAAGTTGGTCTGGTAGTCATATATTTTGTTGGGTTTCGCTGATCCAACTGAAAGTCTCCCCAATTTCACTAAAACTGCAATTAGGTAATGAAAAGTAAATTAACGCTCTGGCTTCATAAAATCCCAATAATTGAACATGTATGAATTAAATTATGAACAAGTTGTGAAGGCATTAATTAGCTGATTGAACAGAATCAGATCAAAATTAATTATGCACTAAACTAAATCATACAGCTTTGAATGCAATATCACAGTCCACAAGTAAATAAGGAGCAGTGAGATTCAAAGAGAAGGATAATGCGGTGCATATGAAGAGGAATCGTACCGTCCGATTAGTCGGACGAAGCAACGGAGAGACTCCAGCGATTCCTAGAAAAGAGATCCAAGTTCTCATCCGTATCCTTGGAGATTCCGTTGAGACTGAGACCTTGCCGGTGCTGCGACCTCCCTCCGATCAGAGATTCCTTCAAACTCTGATTCATTTCTACGGATCCAACACCATTACCATCCCCAATACACAAGCAATTAGCTAGAGTACACATCTCGCGTTTGGGTAGGGTTTAGGGCTTGAGTTGGAAAAAGTGATAAAGCACCAACACGTTTGGGCACCGTGATAGGAAGGGGAAAATATATTTGGGCGGGAGTATAAAATAATTAGACCGCCTGAAGGAATATTTTGGGGGGAAAAAAATAAATAATACATTTTTCATAATGTATTCAAAGATTCCATCGTCTAACCAAGATATTAATTATGACTTTACTTATATGTAATAATATTATAATGTTATGATAGTCATTATACAGTGATTTTTAAGATTTAATATTAATTATCATATTTAATAAGTAATTAAGTTCACTAAAAATCATCTACGTCTCAACACTGATTCAAAATAATTAATTAAAATAAATAATTGAATAGTTCATAGGAAGAAGTTCTTAGAAATTTTTTTATTAAAAAACTAATATTCTCATATAAATATATTTGCTTCTTAATTTAATAAAAAATATTCATTTATTTATAAAATAAAATAACAATTTCTTTTTATAATTTTTATTTTTCTTAGTTGGAACTCCGAATTAGATTGCATATATGATGGGTAATTTTATAGAAAATATAATTTTTTAGAAAAGACAAACTTCTAAAAAAATAAAAATAAAAATCATATTTAAAATTATTTGAAGTATGAATAAGTGTGTGTATACTATACACACTAATTGATAAATAAATTAAGAATACATCAAACATAAGTAATGAAATACATAACAAGATTTAATCAATAGATAAATAGATGATATTTTACTAATAAGCTCACAGCCTTGTACACAAAAGTATCACACTACGTTTTTACAATATGTCTAAAAGTCATCCTCTAGATGCATACTTTATATATAGGATAATGCTTCAGTTCTGCCCATCAAGATAAATTGTGCCGTGCACACTAACGTGCCAAATAAGAGGTTGACACATCTTTTAAACTTAAAAAGAAACAAAACATGGATCATAACCATTTTTTTGGGTTAAACCCAACAAATCTATTTTTTTCCTCTCTTTGCTTCCATCTATGTATCTCGTTTCGTCTGTATCTTTCTTCAGCTTAAGATCCCTCTCAAGACTTTCCCAATCCCACTATTGCACCTCCTTGCGGGTGGAGAGCAAACCGGTACAAGAAGCACACCGCTTCTAATCTTCTTACTAAAAGAACAATCATCTCTTAGACTTCTGCTGGATCACACCGATTATAGATAAAAATTTGTTGCACAATAATATATCTTTCAAAGATTGATATGCAAATCGAAGCTCACAACTAAAGTATGAAGCTCAATACTCTATGAATGATATGTATGAGAGGATGAATAAGATGAGAACAAAAGCTTTTTGATACTCAAGAAAATTTCTCAATTTCTCTCCAATGCATCCCCATAATGTCCAAAACATTATGTATTTATAACCCCTTGAAAAATATAGTCGTTAAGGGTAAATTCATTTTCTAAATCTAAAATTTTAGTCCATTTGAACGGTCACATGAGTTATCTATTGGTTTGAAGTGATTGGATATATGTTATATCTGTTCGAACAATTGGAGAATCTAATCAGTTAGATTATGGAAGTGATTGGTAGGATCAGATCCTGTTTCATCGCGCTTTCTAAAATTTCATCCATCTGATCGATTACATAAAGCATCTAATCGGCCACTTGGACACATCTGATCGATTACATTGCTGAACTGATCGGTCAATTGATAAACCACAAAAGATGTGAGTTCACTAGTTTTGGCATCCTATCGATAGTATAACTGATCTGATCGGTCAGATGAAAAATAAATAAATTTTCTATTTTAGTCATCTGATAGACAGCATGGGCTGTTACTTCTGCATACCTTATTTCTATTGAAAACATTTAAGTAAATAAGGAAGTACCTCCTATTTGAATTCAATAAAAAATATAAGAAAATTAAAATCTAACTAAATAAAAAATATAAAAATCTAGTTTTAGTACAAATTGGGGTTCCGAAAAGTTTTGGTAAAACTCAATCTTCCGTGTAGGCCTTCGTAGAATTGATGAAAAAATCTCATAAAATCAGTTTAGACTATTTAAAGTGTAAGGAGTAATTACCGGGAAAAATAATTTTGAAAATATCTTTATTTCAAAAATTCATATTTTCCATACTTAGTAAAAAAACAAAGAAACAGTTTTTCATGAGAAATGCCCGGATCGTAAAGTCATTTACCAAGTCATGGTAACAAAGGTTTTGTGGATGAAAAAGTAAGTTCAATATTCCTATCTTTAAACCCTATTACTTTAATGTTAATTTCTATTGCATGTTCATTTAATTCAACTTTAGTTTAATCAATCAAACAAACTTCCTTTCAATCTCACGTTCACTACGTCAAGTTAGATTCCAAGCCCTATATCCCAGTGGACGATCCCTTCTCACTATACTCGCGTATAAGTGTTAAGTGACTTTTATAAATGTAAAAGTTGATACACATTTGACATATCAAATATAACACATTTTTGTGGTACACACCAAAGTCACATCAACATTCAAAAGTACTACTAATATATTCAGAACTTCTAATTCATTATTCTGCTAATATATTCGTAATTGAAGTGAATTAGGGAACACCTTTAGAACTACTAATAGCCTAATACATTTTTAGAACTACTAATTCAACAAGAAACATCTTAGTTCAGAAAATTAACCAACAATATGTAGCCACTATAAAATTATATTACTCCATAGTATATGTATAATTTGATACATATACATAACTTAACGGTTCGATTTGGTCGAGTTTTGATCTTAAAGGACCTCAAACCTTGAACAAATTGTATTTTTTTTTAATATATATATATATATATATTATCTTATATAAATTTAAATATGAATTATACAAATTATCCCTTAACTTTATTATTAGAATTAATTTATCATTAAAAAAAATATTTATAACTGCCATTTTATAAAATGATTAACTTATTATTAGAATATTGAGGCATTTTTGCAATAGGTGGTATTAGGCACAAAAAAAAAAAAAAAAATTCAAGGGGGTTATTTACAAATTCAAACATAGTTCAAGGAGTTTTTTGCACTTTAGTATATATTTATATATATACACACACTTTTATACATTAAAAACATACCTTATGATAAGTTTTAATTTTTCTTATTATTTCCCAAAAAAGTATATGGTGACAGAAGGCTAATTTGTGACAAGAATTTATTTTTTTGTGATAAAATATCCTTTGTCGCTAAAAGATAGAAATTGGTAACAAATAATTTGTCACTAAAAGTCTCTTAATTGTGACAAAGTGAGTTTTGTCACAATAACTCAATCTTTGGCGACAATGTATCATTTGTCACTATAAGGTTGTTTGTAGCGACAACAATTTTTGTCATTAAAATGCCATCAATTGTGACAAAGCTATATTTGTCACAATAACTCAATCTTTTGCGACAATGCATCATTTGTCACTAGAAGATTGTTTGTAGCGACAACAATTTTGTCGTTAAAATGCCATCAATTGTGACAAAGTTATATTTGTCACAATAACTCACCCTTTTGTGACAATGTATCATTTGTCACTAGAAGGTTGTTTGTAGCAGCAACAATTTTTGTTGATAATATGCCACTAATTGTGACAAAGCTAAATTTGTCACAATAACTCAACCTTTTGCGACAATGCATCATTTATCACTAGAAGGTTGTTTGTAGCGACAACAATTTTTGTCGTTAAAATGCCACCAATTGTGACAAAACTATATTTGTCATAATAACTCAACATTTTGCGACAATGCATCATTTGTCACTAGAAAGTTGTTTGTAGCGACAACAATTTTTGTCGTTAAAAAGCTACCAATTGTGACAAAGCTATATTTGTCACAATAACTTAACCTTTTGCGACAATGCATCATTTGTCACTAGAAGGTTGTTTGTAGCGACATCAATTTTTGTCGTTAAAATGCCACCAATTGTGACAAATCTAAATTTGTCACAATAACTTAACCTTTTGCGACAATGCATCATTTGTCACTAGAAAGTTGTTTGTAGCGATAACAATTTTTGTCGTTAAAATGCCACCAATTGTGACAAAGCTATATTTGTCACAATAACTCAATCTTTTACGACAATGCATCATTTGTCACTAGAAGGTTGTTTGTAGCGACAACAATTTTTGTCGTTAAAATGCCATCAATTGTGACAAAGCTATATTTGTCACTAAAATCTAGTTAATCGCGACAAAGCTATATTTGTCACTATATTGTAATTAGTTGCGACAATATATTTGTCACTAAAATCAATTTTGTTGCCATACCCTTTCCCGCCATATAGATGTGAGGAAATTCCCGGGGTAGATATTGCAACAACTTTTTATGACAAATTTGGTTTTTGTCGAGTAAAATTAGCTTAAGGTGACAAAGTTACTTTTTGTCACAAAAGATCATTTTATTACGACAAATTCATCTTGTCGCTATAGTTTTTGTCGCCAAAGACCAAATTTGTTGTAGTGAGTGAAGCTTTAGACTGTATTGATGGGCTCCACAAATCCCAGAATGTGCCTCCTTCATTGCATGGGTTGTTTCATCATTTCCAAGGCAATGAAGGAAAATGCCCTCATAGAACGCCTATACAACGTATCGTTGTAATAGATGAAACGAGGTGCTCGTCTTCGTATTTCAGTCTTGTGGCGTAGGTCTTCAGGAAGCTTTCCATGTTCCAGATAATCAATGATAGGGAGTCTCCAGTCTTCTTCCTCTTGTGTCCAACAAGAAATCAAATTACTTTCTTCAAATTTATCTTCCAAGACTTATGGCAAAACCCATCGTTGACATACAGGAACATCAACTAGGTCCTTATCAGTTAAAGCCAATGTTGTAGCTAAATTTGCCAAAGCATCAGCTATCCGATTTTCTTTCCTCGGAATATACTCTAGCATGACACTATCAAACCGTTTCAACAAATGGGAGGCATAACGATGGTACGACACTAGATCATCTTTTTTAACCTCATATTCTTTAAGAAGTTGGTTGATCACCAACTTAGAGTCTCCATATATTTCGAGATCGGTGATCTTCATCTCATTCGCCATTTGAAGGACGATAATCAAGGTTTGATATTCAGCTACATTATTTGAGTAGTTTTTTGCGAGTGCAAAAGAGTATGGAATAACATGTTTTTTTGG